ACATCTTACTAGGCAACCTAAGAACTAGGCTAAGCTAACAGCAATGGCAGTCAACTGCAGTAGCTAAGTATTAGCATGGTGATTTTTAATCCATTTGATGTGCCACTGAGTATTTTTGATACTGTTTAGCGTTGCTGAGGTTAAATGTTAATCTATCTCTAATGCTACTGTTCATTTGCCACACCGTCTTCTCATCTTGGAGGAAAAGGAAATAATACAAGGAGCTTGCTTTCAGCAAGCTTGTAGGCCTGCTTGCAAATTGCTGCTTTGACAAAATAATAAAAAAAAGTTAATAATTAAGAAATACCTTAAAACATATTTTGTTTTTTTTTTCATAAAAAATTAAAAAGTTTTATTTCAGTTACAAACCGAAGCCACAAGACTGCTTTAAATTCCCAGCATATTATAGGTTCATATCACTAAGATTTAAATTGCTCACTGTTTGCAAAAAGAAACATTTTTTGTATTTATCTTCTTTGACTAGTGATTCAAAAACGTACTAAATAATAGCAGGCAAATATTAAAATCCCAGCTCATTTTTGACAGGCCTATAAATATATTTATTTATATAAATATATCTAGAATTTACAAACCGGTTAGTCTATTTTCTAACACATGGAAGATGTGTTTATAATACCTATAAATATTAATAGTCATTTAGACCTAAAATATTGTTAATATATGTTCGTTTCAAATAGAAAGTAATAATAATAATAATAATAATAATAATAATAATAATAATAATAATAATAATAATAATAATAATAATAATAATAATAATAATAATAATAATNAATAATAATAATAATAATAATAATAATAATAATAATAATAATAATAATAATAATGTCTTTTCAGCTCCATGCCCCCTCTATATGAAATGCGGTCCTACCGATGTAAATTCCAGTGAAATGTGGCTTGAGTGGCTGCGGGGACAGGGGAGGTTAATCCGAGTTTAATGCAGTGAAGCACAGCGCTGGGTCTGGGCTATGATGGGTATGTTATCTCTACCCAACATTTGGGTCTCCCTCAATTTCCACCCAGCCAAATAGCTGCGAGAAAGTGCAGATGGAGTCACTCTGAATGCCTGAGGAAAAAACGTTATTAATAGCTAAATAACTTCCCCATACTTTCACTGAATCTCTCTCACACACTGTTCCAGATGGATTTGTTTGAAGTGGTCTCTCGCTTCATTCCCCCTGTCCTTCTCATTCAGTGCGGCTTTAGACCCGAAATATGGCTACATTATATTACCATACACTTAGAGAGAAGGGCGCGCATGTCACTGGAGCGCGCGCCCAAGCCCGAATCGTGGAAGTGGGCATTTTTCAGTTTGATTTGAGCAATTATATTTTATTATATTGTGTTTCTTTGTTTGGAATTGTAAATATTTGTATATAAGATTTTTTTTATGTTAGGCAAAAATAAGCACCATAAAAACAAATAATTTATCTATTTCTAAAAAACAAATAACAGTTTGGAAAACAGGTCTTATGTGCAATAAATGTGACTCTCCGCCGTTTGTTTGCATTTTGCTAATCCAAACATACACGGTCTGTCTCTCCTCCTCACACCTTTGCGCAGCTTTGTCAGTTTTCTTCCCCAGTGCGCAATTTTAATCCCACCTGGCATCTGTTTAATTAGAGCGACCTGCAGGTAATCCTGCGATTTGTTGAAGTGTCTATCGCCTGTCTCCACCTCATCTAACGGTCTGAAAGGATGCGTCATGTACAGCAAATCGACCCAAGACATCTGATAGCCTACATGTTTCCACGACGCAATTACCCCCCCCCCCCCCAAAAAAAAATAAATAAATAAAAAAACAACAACAACAAACTAAATAGTAAAAAACAAACAAACACGCACATACACAAAATAAAAAAGCACATTTGTGCTTGGTGTAACTCAGTCTTTTCGCCATTCTAAAAGGCAGTGCATGCACCAGAATATTCTGTTTTACTTGTTTTGCAGGAAATTAAACGCGCACTAATTTGTTTGGGATTTTCAGTACGTTTCTTTAAAAAAAGAACTAGATTAGTGCCCAGATAAATCCGTGATGTAACATGAAAAAAATAATAATAATAAGACCTAATAAACAAGCAGATAGATAAATAAATAAAGTCTTAAAATCTGGATAAGTAAACCAGAAAAAAAAACACGTATGAATTTAGTGCCCAGGGCGAGCCACAGTGCGCTCCGCTCTGAGATGAAAGTGAAAAGAAATAAAAGGCTCTGTTTAATCTGCTTTAAAAACCCCTCTACACATAAGGGCCGTACTTCAAACTCGCAGAGTGAGGGGCTGATTGGGGATAAATACATTTCTTACTATGCCTTGGAGCTATTACAGCCGGCACGAACACAAGCACCTATTGAAGCGAGCATCGTTTCCAGCGCTTTTACTCTAATAAGTATTAACATTATTAAACACCATCCTGATGCTGCTTGTCTAAACTGCATTACGCACTGGGTTAGTCCCTCTTTTTATAGCAGCGTAATTCGATCCCAATTTAAAACAACAAGCGGCGCTTAAAAAAAGGAAACAAATCTAGAGAGCAACATTATGTGGAAATTTTGCAACAAAGGCAAGAAAACAAGCAGGAAAGCGCTAAAGATGCAGTTAAAGTCCAATTCAATCAATCAGGCGCGTTGTGCGTAAAGGACCAGGCTCCAGCCATATACGCCGGTCATTTGCTGCCAGCAGGGTTTACAAGACGCTGGAGATATTTGCAGGAAAACTGTGACATTTTTTCTCCTAACATTTATCTGCGCTGTGACGAAGAAAAGGGGACCGTTTTCACGCCACATACCGATTTTTCTCCAACGGGGCCATTATATACTAAATTACAAAACTATCTAGCAGCGGGGCGCACTGAATAATTCATCTCCTTTTGTAGCGATCCTTGCCCTTTGTCCAAACTTTTCTCTCTCTTTTAGCAGTTCTTTGAATGTGAATGGAAGCAGAACTATACACTCTGCTTTACGCTGCAGTGCTTTCCAGGATTTGCTTTTGTACCACGGACTCCTCGCTTAAGAAAAGCTTCAATAGAGGGGAGGTTTTACTCGTGAAGTTCATCTTCAAGTTTGAAAAATATTTGTGTGCAGTCTGCATAAAAAAAAACAAAAAACAAAAAACAAAACAAAAAAACAGGTATTGCATTATTTTTATTTCCCTTCTTTCGTTTCAGCTTGGACAGAAGCAATATTTACCCTGGCAAAATAAACTGGTTGAATCTAAGAATCATAGTTGTTGGAATATTGTTATAATAAATAGATTTTATTTACCATGTAATTTTAACGACTGAACTTTACTTATTAACTTTTAACCGCTTCACTTGTTACTAACAAATATATATTCAAAATGAAATAATAAAATTGTGGATATTTCACAAAGTAGTTACAGAAGCTATGGATTATTACAGCTTCTTGTGTCACATATTTAAAAGGTTTTGTGGACCAAGATAGTTGTTAACTGAATGCATTCAACACAAATTCATCTACAAACTATAAATAGCTTCTATTTCGTCTAGTCCTTGGTACATAGTTAATTTTATTTACATTTATTAATGTATCTGTTTATCTTTGTTTTTACAAATTATTTATCGTTTTGGTCTTTATATTTACCAACTTCACATAAATGTTTAATTTATTGTGGAGTAAAAACAAACTTTGTAATAAGTGCTTAACATCTAAGACGTTTGTTTGATTCAAGACACACACACACTCATATATGTATATATATATATATAT